ATAACTGCAACTGTATTTTGTATTGTATTTTGCATTAAATACAGTTGTATGCAACTTGCTTGAAGGTGAAATTGAATTGCTCGTTGCAACTGCTGTGCAACCTTGGCTATAAACTTGCTGCACAACTTTCTCCAAAAAAAGCGACAGGTGGTGTTAAGTGCCATTTTATATTTTTTGGGGCAAGATTCGACAAGCTGCGCCGGGCAGTGCTCGAAAGTTATTGGGTGGAAAAGAAAAGTAAGCATGGAAGGCAACTTAACCTTGCAGCAAAAATGGGAATAGTTCTGATGCAACATCTAAGCACGTTTTATGTGCACTAACTCTTTAAGTCGCCCAGATCAAGAAGACCAATGTGTATTTGCGAGATTCCTTATGGAGTAGTAGATGCTTAATACCATGAGGCATGGCTTGGCTAAAATAAATTTAATATTTTATGACAGTTTGTTCAAAATGAAAATACTTTTTGGGTTAAGAAAATTTATGTTTCAGTTGATTTATTTTTTTAATAAAAAAAAAATTTTTTTTTTTTTTTTTTTTTTTTTTTTTTTTTTTTTTTTTTTTTTTTTTTTTTTTTTTTTTTTTTTTTTTTAAAAATATTTTTTTTTTTTTTTTTTTTTTTTAAATTAAAATTTTTTAATTTTATTTTTTTTTTTTTTTTATTTTTTTTTTTTATAATATTTTTTTTTTTTTTTTTTTTTCTTCTTAAAAAATAAAAAAAAATAAAAAAAAAAAAAAAAAAAATGCATAATGAGGTATGTAGCACTTCATTTGTTTATCGCATGTGGCACAGGTCAGTTACCACTTGCGGCGCGTACACACACACACACACACACACACACACACACACACACACACATGCACAACCACAACAATCTGTCACATTTGCAGTGGCAGGGTTTGCGAAATATTAAGCACAATTTTATTAGATAACATTGAGGGCAGCTCGGTGTAGGGGGAGGGGAGGGGGGCGCACATTGCGGCTGCCTCGTTTGCCACGTGCCACGCTCAACAATTTTAAACACAAAATATTTGCAACAATTTATCAAGCGTTCCTTTTTATTTTCGAAAGTTTTGTTGTTGTTAAGTTTTTTCTTTTGCTGTACATTTTCGGTTGTCACTTAACAAATTTAGCTGCCTGTTTATTGCATGCCACTGCATGCCCTCCCTCTTTCCTGCCCAAACCATTCCCTGATGTCTGTCCTGTTTCGTGCGCTATCTGGCATTTTATATCTCTGGCTGCCATCCAAAAAATTGCCCAACTTCAATTGTGTGAGCGCTTATTTTCCAGTAATTCAAAGATGTACCTCAACAAACAAACACACACACACACACATATTTATACATATATACATATATATAGATACAGAAGTGGAAGCCTATTAAGCACTGGTGTCCTGATAAAATTGCTGGCAAGTTTTTAACTTAGTGTTTTGGATTGCATTTATAAATTGCCATGTCATTTATTATGACAGCGTGCTTGATAAGGGAGCGGTATCGCTGTTAGTACCTCGCCACGCTCACACCAACACACCGCCATATTACACATGTACACAAACTCAAGCAGCCACACATGGGACTTGGCTGGCAGCTGAGGCAAAAAACCAATCAAGCAAATCAAACAGCTGCAAACTAGATTCGTTTTCAATTTCCGCTCGGCAAACGGACACAAATTAACACTCACACACACACACACACAGTATACCCCACACACGTGTGTGTGTGTGTCGTAGGCAATAAAATGCACAAATTGACTTGCCCCACAAACAATAAGCAGAACATTTTCTACCCAAAGCCCACGAACATCGGCCACCTGCATTCAATTTGATTAAATTGGGAAATGATTGCGAAATAGAAAACTTCGGCAAGAAACATGAACAGCAAGTTATTGTGTTGAGTTGTATATTAGCCAAATATTTAATACTCTATAATGTCAATTGCGGCTGACTGCTTATTGGGGGATAACATAGCTGTAACAAAATTTGTTGTGTTTAAATGTCTCAAATTGAACTTTGTCAACAACAAATTTTAATCGGCCGTTTCCTGTATTTGGTTCCGTTTTGCTACAATATCGAATAATAATATCGATATCCGTAACTGGGTCTTACAATAATGTTTAAGTTTGCTTCTGGTTTTGAATTGTTGCTTTTCCGATTCCTGATCAGGTTCGTCAACCTACTTTAAGTACCATAAATTGCGGTAAGTTGAGTTTAAAAAAATGTTGTTTACAAACATTTAAATGTTTAAATATTTAACAAAATAAATAAATTGAGTAATCGTCAAAAATAAATATAATAAATAAATATTATCAGGAACTATAAATCATCTGCCATCTATAGACTTCTCTATACGGCTTTGTTAAGAAATTAGTATAAAGAAAAGATAACTTTTATTCGATTACAGTATATATTCTCCTTAAATAAGTCTGACACACTTGCTGACAAATCAAAAAAAAAGAAACAAAATAAAATAAATAAACACACGTTCTCTCTGCCCAAGGGTATAAAAATCGAAAGGACCAACAGGTGGAGGTAGAGTAAAAGAAATATAAAACCTGAGCGTTCGACCATTGATAAATTGATTGCTATATTTATCAAACTGTCGCCTTCTGTCCGCCTGTCTGTCTTTCTGTCTGTCTGTCTGTCTGCCAGTCTGTCTGCCCGTCTGTGTTTGGTCTGCTTACAAAATATATTTGATCCGATTTGCAACAACAACAACGACAACAACCACAACAATAGAAAAGAAACTCGTACTTGGACAACGACAACATCAAGTAGAACTTCATGTGGCAAGCAACAAAGTTGTCAACGCTTGTCTGCAATCCAAGAAACGATTCAAAGGCAATGCTTAAACACTTGGATTGGATTCTATTCCACAGTGGGTGGGGCTCTGAAGTAGGCTACACATAATTGATAACATTGTGTGAGCATTGTGAGGGAAGCCGCATAGCTGTCTTTGCTCTCCTCTATCTTCTTTTTGCTGGGCGCACGTGTTGCAAGTGTTAGTTAAATGTATGATGAAATGGCATACAATTTACATGCCTGCCCCTGCTACGCCCCTCACTAGCCCCCTCCAAATAGTTGCCATGACGTCTCGCAACGTTTTGTTGCCCCATCGATTTTCGCGCCTCTCTCTCACAATTGAGCATTCTGCAGAGAGCTGTGTGTGCAACATACTTGACTTTGGCTGGCTTAATTTCCAACTAACAGACTGCTTGTTGGCTCTTTACCGCAGCCCATTTGAGTGCTTTGCATAGCGGCATAAACTGTTTAGTTTAATTAGAGAACTAAAAGTTAATTTTGATACAATTTGGCTAAGTTTCGAAGAAGTCTTTTATAAATAGGGAAAAGTATGTAACAGACAGAAGGAAGTATCTATATATATTCATAATTAAGATTAACAACCGAGTTGATTTAGATTTTAGATTTTAGATCCAATTTATTACATTTTATCGATAACGATATAAATCGATTACCCATAGCAATAAAGGACACAATTGTTCCGTGATGTATTATTGATAAATTTGACATATTTCAATAGGTTCATATTAAGAACTTTGTTAACCAAGACGTATTCCCATTTTGAACAAAAATTTACTTAATTCATATTTAAACTTATCGTTACGTCAGCTGAACTCGAATAATTTGAACAATTTCAATCCTAAATCAAAGTCATAAGATGGATAAATCGTGTAAGATTGAGGCACAAAGAGCAAGAGCCAAATATAAAGGAGAAGAGAGGCATAACGAAACGAAAAATGTTTAGCATTTGTTCTTTTGAATTAAACTTTAGTTATTTCTCTGGCCGAAGTACGCAAACCCACACCCACACACACAAGCACCCACTTAGCAATATCCCCCGCCTACACACACACATACACACACCCGCGCATAACAATATATACATGCAAGATGCCACAAAGGACAATAGTTGCTGAGCTCTCGGGCAAAGTTTGCAACATTGCATTCATGCTGCAAGTGCATTAAATATTTGCACAACAACAAAAAGATACAACAGCTAACCACTCAACTCCCCGTCCTAACTCTGGTATCCTCCTGGGAGGTAAGCCCATTACTCCTAATGTTTGGTGTGCTCTCGTGCATATTTTAACAATGCTTTTATCTGAATTTTTAGTATCTGTCTGCATAGCTGGCAGGCCCACATTACAATTTTTAATTAGATTACACGAAAACTCTTAAGAATATATATATAGATATATGCAAACATATAGAGTTTGTACATTCTGTGCTGTCCTGTGCATAATTATGTAAATGAATGTCCTGCACATCGGGATGTCTACCGATTGAACAGGTTTACGAACTCTGGACACGTGCCAAAAGAAAACACACACACACAAAAAAGTTTATAAATTGATAACAGTTACAATCATAATCTATGTACAGATTTTATATACCTTATATTTAAAAATTAGGTATTTGGGTTGGGTATTATATAAAGTTTGGTTAGCTAAGTGGATATGCTATGCATAGATATGTACAATAACATTTGATGGCACAACTTGACTCAAAATTGAATAGCAATATATTAGGCTATTAAACTGAATCATATTTCAGGTTCTGGCTCACATTTTTTGTCGATATTCGATTCCATTATATAATAAAAATATTGTTTCATATATTTTCTTCTTTAATAAAATGTTGAGTTTCAATTGTGGTTTTAAATTTGAATCGGTAAAGTTGAACACTCTACAGTATATATACAAATACACACTCGCACACACGCACACACTCACACATAGTAGGTGGAAAGGGAGAAAAGTAGAAAGCTAAAAGCGATTAGCAAACCTAACAGTAAGTTAACAGCGCGTTAACAGCGTCTTAGGAGTAGAAATGTAGAGCGATAGGATAGAAGACTTTAGAGACAGCAGAAGATAGTTTGGAAATGAGCGACAGAAAGAGATGGAGACAGAGACAGAGTTTTTGGCGGAAGTTTTGGGAGCAGATAGAAGAAAAGTATTTTTTTATTTTATTTTTTGACATTACCTGAACATTTGAGACCCTGATGGTATATGCCATAGAGTAGAGAACCACAATGATCACAGAACGTGGGTCCTGCGTATGTGAATGGTTCGAAATGGTGCTGAGTTTTTGGTGAGTCCTTTATTCAGTTTTTGTATTGTTTGATTGTTTAATGCGTGTAACGGTGCCACAGTTTGAAATTTTTGTTTTATATATTTATTGTATTGTATTGTTTTGGTTTAATTTAAAAAAAAAAATTTTTTTGTGTGAGCGATGTGATTTTTTTGACAAATAATTGTTTTGTTTTTGATTGGTTCATGAAAATACAAATACAAATACAAATTTATGGTAAATAAACAGAGCACGATGACAATTAAACATTGCTGAACAATGGCACAATAAGCAGTACTAACTTTAACACTAAATTGTGGTTAGTATAAACTCTTTTTTTTTCAGATGGTTTTTTTTTTCCAATGTTTTAACTAAATTCAGTTGCATACTACATAGTTTGATTAGCTGCTTAACTTAACAAAAAGCTGTCATTTTATTTTAGTGCAATCTAACAGCATTTTCATGTGAGAGAAGTGTTATTAATAGTTACAAATTAAATTTTATATCACTTTAAAAAGAAAAATGTGTATAATTTAGAAACTTCCCTAATCTGCTAATCTGCTCTCATACAAAATGTAGTTAATATACTGCTCATGCTGTATGACTTAAATGAACTCAACGCGGACTTTATCTAAAATCTCGCTATTTTGTGTGCACTGTGTGACATGAAATCCCAGCTGAAGCTTTTGGACACTTGGGGCAAGCTTTTGGCTGGTTGAAGTCAGCCGACGACTGTCATAACAAATATGAATTTGGCTGTATTCTCAAAATGCCACGTTGTTAAACGAGTATCAAACGCAGTAACAGCAGCAACATTAGACAGGACATTCGAGACAGTATTGCCAGGAATTTTTAGAGCCAACGCAAATAACACAACAGTAACAAGAAAGGGTCTATACCCTAACAAGCAACCAAGCCAATAATAGAAAGTCCTATGAAAGAATGATGATTCTTTGTCTGAAAGTTAGAATCATTATAAAATTAGTACTGAATATGTGTGGTTAAAAAAACTTGGTAATCATAAAAGTTCCACAGCTATGTGATATAATGAACAGATTCAGCTGACCTCGACTTATGTACTGCTTACAACAAAACTACGAAGCTGAATAAGAATATATATTTTCATAGGGCGTCTTCTAACAAACTTTACAAGTAAATTAAAATACCCGCTGCAAACGTAAAAAGAATCCCAAAGTGACACTTTAATTTGACAGTAAAACATATAAATGAAAAGCAAATATATATATATATATATATGTGCACACAGAATTATATTTATATATATATTTAGGAATGTATCTCCGCTTTTCACACATAAAAATGCTGCGCAAAAGTTCTTAAGGCTAAATCTAAATATTGAGTTGCTTACTAAGTTAAACTTGGCTATTGTTAGTATGCGTTTTTGTAGTATTTAATATTTTGTATTTGGATAGACAAGGCATACAAGGCACTTACGGAATCAATTCCCTTATCCTTGCCGGGGCAGATGAAGGTGACGTATTCATGACAACGCTTGTGCACCACATACGAGCAGACTGCAACGGTTCAATTTGATGAGTTTAGTTGAGTTCCCATCTGATTTACATACCTTGACACTGGAATCCCTGTTTGCCGAAACCCCTGCAAGAAGGTCAAATATGAAATTAGTTGTTTTTTTTTGCTTAAATTACATGTGAAATGCGGTTTCTACTAATTTTCTACTAATTGAATTGATCTTCTGTGTGCGTGAGTGTGTGTGTGTGGGTGTTGTTCACATTGCATAAATATTTAATTTGCCAACACAGCAAATATTTATTAATCAATATGCTAATTTTTCCAAGGCAATTTACGACACCTCATTTGCAACCAAATTCAATCAATATAATTATTATGGTTGGGTGAACAGGTCAAAGGTTAAGCCTTTTGGGTTTGTTAGATAAACAGCGTCCATATTAGCATTGGGTATTAGTTCTGAAATGTTGAATAACATATTTGTATACGCTGAATTCAATAAGAGTGCTTAAAAAAGGTATATTGATATTGTTAAATGAAATGTAACAGGCAGAAGGAAGCTTTTTCAATCCCAAAAGGTATATGTATTCTTGATCGGTATCAAAACCCAAGTTGGTTAGGTATTCAACAAGTCTGTCTGTATGTCTGTCTATCCGTTCTTCTGTCTCTTTGTATAAATGCCGATCTATCAACACTAAAGAATATAAGTTTTTATATATCCGCAAATATCCACAAATATTGATTATATATAGTCATAAACATATTTACAAAAATATCTTTCTAATCTATTTGGATAACTTTATATACTATTCATCATAAAAAAATAAAAATTTCAACAAGATCAGTTGAGAGCCACTGAAGAAAATTCTAATTTGATTTAAGTTTTCATATTTTTCAAATTGCACAGTAAGAAGCCCAACCATTTTCTGTATACTCATTTTCACACCCACACCTAAGTGCGTATTTTTCATCGACGTAGTTTCAATTTCTAAGATAAATAGTTGTCTTCAGGGTATGTTATTTTACGGCTTTCAGAATTAATTATGTTGCGGGTACTATCTGCAACTTGTAATTCATTTTTAATCAAGCTTGTTACAACTGTGAGATTAAAAGTTGATTACAAATTTGCAATGTAAAAGGTGAAGATTTAATATTTGCTTGCTGCTGACATGTTGCCACTGACTTTTAAAAGCCTGCACGCACACACACATTTGTGTTTGTATGTGTGTGTGTGCATTGACTACTTTTCAGCTTAAGCGTTACGTTCTGGGTTCCAGCTTGTGGCTGTGTTGGTGTTTACGTGCCTGTCAAGCAGCAAAGCAGGCAAAATATAACTAGTGCTCGCTTTACCCAGATTCCATAAGCTATAAGTGCCTTGACCACAAGCCGCTTATCGACTATGTGTGTGTATGTTTTACTTTTTAACCCCACCAAAAAGACTGTTTATGTATTCTCATACATGTATTATATATATATAAATATATATTAATATTATTATATATTTATTGTGTATATTGTGGTCATTTGCATTTTTTGTGCACAAACAACGGCAAACATCATTTTCAATTTGAATTTAAATGCATTTTAGTTAATGCCAAATTATTGTGTGGTTTTTCAGGCCTGCTACTGCGAACGGTCGTTATGTTCTGGTCTAGAGAGCTCGACTGGGCAGCATCCTGCCAGATATGTAATTTGATAAAACCGAATATATAATTTTTGTTCATATTTCTCAAACGATTTTGATTAATTTTTATGGATTACCAATATTATATTTAAGCAACAAGATTCGGGATAAGAAACTCACATATGGATTGTTGGAAATCGATTACACTAATCAATAAAATAAAGTAATCTTGATCTGCACCTGTAATACAACTATTTATATTCCAAATTGTAGCTCTTACAGTCTCTGAGATAGGCAAACGAACAATGCCCAATCGTCTGTCGGGTTTGTTAATTTTGCGTTTTAAATATTCGTAAAATTAAGTTTAATTACATTTCATATATTTGCGCATTGTTTGTCGCTTCGCTAGCTCTGTTGTCTTTTTTTTCTCTTTTTTGTTTGGCTTTTTCGTCAGTTTTGTGTGTTTGCGCAACAAATGAAATTAAAATTCACATTCTACTCGCTGCATCCGCAGTTACGCTCTTCACTATCTGCAACTGCATTGCCTAGTTATTTCTTCTTTTTTATTTGTTGAATTTTTTCAATTTTTAATTAAGCACATTTTTTCGGCTCCGGTCTTTTCAGCAGCAAGCACGCTATCCACAAAAAAATTAGAGAAAAAGAGGAGAAAAAATTGCGCAGCAAATTAAAAAAAAAAAATTGAAAATAAAATACAAAAAATATATGGTTTGCTATGCGAGTTAATTTCACACGCAAGCGAAAAAGTTAAAGTGCACGCAAGAGATTTAAGATTGAGTTAAAAAATTACGTAGATAAAATACGAGTCCGTGACTAGCATTTTAAATAAAGCATAAATTTGAACCACGAAATATAGAATATGATATAGAATTAACAGTGTGGCTTAATAAGTTTTTAATCAAAAGGATTCTCAACAGAAAAATTTTGCAAAATGCTTTTTATGCCCTGAATGTGTAAAGACATTCTGTGTGCGTGTGAGTGTGTGCAGAAGTATGTAACGGGCAGAAGGCTGATTAAGTTTGTTTAATCTTTTATCGATAACTGCCAAGTGTTTCTCGAATATCGGTATAAATCGATTTTCTACGGTATTCAATAACAGAACTGTTAAGATATCACCTTATCATTGGTATGTAATATACGCTAAGATCGAATAATAAACGCAAATTTTGTTTAGCTAAACCTATATCTATATTTTACTACAATTAATATCAGCAAGCATTCCACTTTCAACTAGTGTCATTGTCGCCTATTTGAGCACAATCAATAACTGTTATAATATTATTTGCTCTCATATGTACTCTGACATTGTTTGCATAAGCCCATTCATCAACTTCTTAACAGGCAGCTAAACAACAATTGTTTGCTAGAGATAAAAGCTTGCATTTTCAGAGATAACTATTCCTGCATCTATCTATTTATAACAAATATAACAATTTGAAAGCAGCGCAGACAAAACACTTGTGCAATCTGATGCTGATGCTGATGCTGAACAACATAAAACAGCACCTTTTTTGTTTTCATTCTAGTTGAGAAAGTATTTGAAGTGCAACTTATTTTGTGCTCAGGGCGCTACTGCTGCTGCTGCTGTTATGCAAATAACGTGGCATAAGCACGCCGGTAATTTTCACTTGCCCCCAAAATCCAAAAAAAAAAAACCAGTTAGCCACCTGGGGCGCATAAAGCACAAGGCAACCACCCCTGCTGCCCCTGCTACCCGTGCTGCTACATTCTGTGTACGTGGCTGCAATGCCTTTTTGGACGTGTGCAGGTAAAGAGCCAACACTATTAATTAAAAGCCGAAACAGCTCCTGAACCTGGCCGAAACGCGTCTGTTGAAAATTGTAACTCAAGTTGTCAATTAGCTAGCCAACAAAAAACACTAGGCGTATACACAATGTGGCGAGAAGAACAGCAAAACGTGGACAACAGCAACAACAAAGTATCTTGAAATGTATCTTCTAGCTTGTTGGCCTTTTTGGGTATCAGTTTCACATGGCTCAGCTACGCGCTTTGTTTCCTTTTTCGGTCATAGATCGAACATTAGAGTCGCATTTTAAACAGACATTCATTTAATTATTGCCTTAATCTTGTACACCAATTAGCTAAGCGAGAACACAGATAATAATAATGATTAACGTCACGCCCCAAAGTGCTCTACCAACAGACTTCGTTGTTGTTGTTGTTGTTGGTATTGTTAACATGTCGCTCGGCAATTTGACTATAGTCAAAAATGTTCTAATTAATTTTCTTGTCATTTTCATTTTGCAGGTTTTTCAGCTGTCAACTCCATGATGAGGCATCTGACATTTGAGAGTACGTTATCGCCCACTCATTCTGAATATTTAATTGTGAATTAATTAAAATGCTAACGGAAATGGGCAAAACCGCAACCGAAACCGAATCCGAAACTCAAACTCTTGACGAAGCACTTTTTAGTGATTTTTAGGCTGAACTATGAATATCAAATGTATAATTTCAATTAATAACTATTTCATTATTCATCCTGCATTTGACTTATATTTGTTATATTTAATTATTGAATGACATTGTTCTCCTTTAACATCTATTAAATAAACTATGAATGACAAATGTAAAATTCCAATCAATTACTCTTTCATTTTTATTTATTTCATTGTTTCTACTTTAACATCTGCTTAATAAATAACTTTCGTGCACCACTACAAAAATATATTATTAATTAATTAACATAGTACTAATACGTACATAGATCATATTTCTGATAGTATTACTTTGTGAAGTTCTCAGACAAGTTCATACTTCTTTAATTTAACTAATTTGGTTTCACTTAAAGTTGTTAAGGACAGACTCCTTGTTTTATATGGCATGAGAGAATTTTACTCCTGTTCCGGTTATGACACCATGATTTGTTGATATTCAAATGAATAGACATAATGACACGACGGTTATGTTTAGATATTCTTCTCTGCAATCTTCAAATGAATAGCCCAATCCATAATTCCCAATCCCCAACTAGCAATAAAATGTGTATAAATGACTTTAGACTTTTATGTACTGCGCATTAGTCATTAAATAAAAAATACCTACATCCATGCATATCCCGATTGATAGCCGCTGTAAGAACAAAGAACAATATTTTTTCATATAAAGTGTTTTCGGCCAAAATGCTGTTGTTATCATTTTTACTGGCACAGTACGCAAATATTTGCCAAGGTCGGCCAAATCTAAGCTTGTTTGGGGTTTGGATGGCAGGCGTACAAAAAAAAAATGTACCTCCTACTTAATGCGCATGAGATTGTTTTATAAGCCACAAGTTGAACTCAAAATGTTGCCAAAAAATTATTATTTGGCTTAACATAACATTGCACAACAATTGAATAAGCTAGATTTGAGGAGCGGGCTTTGCCTAAATTTAAATTAATACACAGGACTACTTTGTATTTTTTGTTGTTGTTAATGCTAGCTTTTTGTGCTTGTCAAGTTAAGTTCCATTGCAATGTCGTTAGCTTGGCTTTAATTTGTGGCTATTGTTGCTGTTGTTGTCGATAGACAAAATATCGATTTACGTCGTCGCTGCTTAGTTATGTGGCCGATTTTGCTGTCACGACGTAGACCCACAAGTGCCACAGGCCGCGTGCCACATGAAACATAAATTCAAGAATATCACATGGAATTTACAAACAACAGCAACAAAAATGCAACAGAGAAAAGCAAACCAAGAGAGAAAAATAGCTAAAGTCTAAATAGTTCACAGTAGAAAAATTTCTTTATTGGATGTTTCAAAATTGTTTCTATAATTTGTGGTATAGCTTGATAAATAATATTAATAAGAATAATATTTACATTATGAACTGAAAGTGCTTTGGAAACTTTTCAAGTGTTAGATTTGTCTGCTCAAAGTTTTGTTTGAATTTGCTATGTCTTTTTATGATGAGTACAAATCTTAACGCTTTCCTTTTTAACAGAGAGAGACAGAGACAGGCAGATGAAGAGAGAGAGAGAAGGGCTACACAATTATCTTTGTTTGTCTTTCCAAACAGTTAATTTTGTTCGAATTTAATTTCGGATTGTTTTATGAAATAACCAAATATATTAATTAACAGAGATGGCGAAAATGCTAAGTCTTGATTTCATACATCCTTATAGAGGGTAATATCATTTTTTTTCGTGAAGTTGGGGAGGAGACATCTCCGATGCCACAAAGTATATATACAAGATATATATAGAAAAAATAATATATTATGAATAACTGTTTTGTTTAACAAATTATCTTAATTAATCTCATTTTTATTCGTTCTGTTATGCTTCTAAAGATTTGATAGGAAAATACTGTCGGTTTTTAATTTTATAGTTTAAATTTGTTTTTATGCTTTATATATTTAAGAAACTGAGATTATAACTGAGTTTTGAGCTTCATTTAATGTATTTTGTAAAGGGAATAATAAGGCAAAAATAAAACTAATTTTCTAATTTTTCTTTTCTCTTATAATTCAGTTTATCCTTCAGGTTAAAGTTTTCTACTTAAGCAATGTTTACCAATAACTTAAGCATGTTTATACGATTGGTTGGATTGATTGGAAAAGCCTTTCAACTACTCAAGCATATTTATGAGACTGTTTGGATCGATTGGAAAAGCAGTTATTATTTTATTAGCTCAATTGAATGTAATATGGCCAAGGGATTTCTCACTATATATATATACAAATATACTACTAATTTACATTTTATTTACTACTATAAAATAATACCGTTACTCGCTTACCAGATAAAGTCCTTGCAGTGGGAACAGAATGTGGGCTGTTTGAAGAAACGGGCGATGAAGCAATGATCCTTCACGTTGAACACATTCTTCTTCTTCAAGGCTCCTTTGCGCAGACGCGACTTCATTTTGTTCTCGCCCTGCGCCTCCCCCTCCGCCCCCTGGCCCTGGCTTTGCTGGTCACCATTGTTGTCGCTGTTCTCCGACATTTTGTTGTTGTTCTTGCTGTTTTTGTTGGCTTAGTAATTGTTATTTTTGATTTGTTGTTGTTGTTTGTAGGTTAGGTTTGGTTTGGTTTAGTTTTCTGCGTTTACAAACTGCACTGGTTATTAATTTTGTTGTTGTTGTTGCTTTTAGTTGCGTTGCATTTGTTGTTGTTGTTGCTGCTTCATTTGATAATTTTATCTGCCGTCCTTTTGTTATTTTTCTTTTCTTGACTTTTGCTGTGCTGTCTTTTTTATTGTTTTGGTTTTATTGATTTAAAAAAAAAAAAACCTGCCAGCAACTGGAGACACAATTTAATTTTTTTATTATTTTTTTTTTCCAACTGATTAAAATGCAAAATTTCGGTTTAGTCAAGTTTGTTCCAATGGGAGAAAAAAAGCCGCACACAAATAAAAATATGCATAACTTATAATCTTAAATATTTGTGGACAGGTTTTCGATATTCGTCAAGAAATGGATATTAATTTAAAAAATGTACGCGTGAATTTTTCACATTCCACTCAAATAAAAAATTAAATATTTGATTTTAGGCAATATTATTTCTTTATAAAGGATATTCTTGTCGTGTTGATATAGATATTTGGCTGTCAGATCTCATCAATACATCAAATAGTTAGCGTACTAATAATTGTTTGATAGATGACTTCTTCAAAGAATAACTTTTTTTTGTTTACCCAAAAACCCAATTTATTTGTCATCACTTTTTAATGTTCTTTACAACAATAATAATCAACATCGGTGTGCCGTATATAATATCACTACCATAGAAAAGGCATTAGTTATTTCTTTTGTGTCGATTTTATTATTGTTTTTATCGCAAATGATTAAAAACAGTTATAATTTGCATTTATTGAAATTTTTGTGGCGCGTGCAAAAAAGAGCGTTTTGATTTTACGACGTTTGCTACTTTTTTTATATTTGCAATTCAAAGTTTTTTTTTAATGATTTTTTATTTGAATTTAAATTTTTGCATTGCCAAATTTGGTTTTGGACACGTTCCGTCATTTCCGACGGTAAATAGCTGTTGTCCCTCTCCCCCTTTTCCCATTTCTCTCAAGCTGAAAGCTAACAGTTATTCTCCCCGTTATAATTTCCATTGAATTTGCGGGCGTCTAGATAAATATCTTAACATGTGCAAGTCGATAACATGTTGTACATATGTGTATGTGCGTTTGTGTTTGTGTGTGTGTACACGCAACAGTTACAAAACAAAAAAGTTGATTTCTGCTCTCTTATTTTGCTTTGTTTTGATTTATTTGTATTTGGTGACAGTGGTTAAATTGTCATTTGTCGTTTGGCGTCGTTTTAGTTTTGTGGTTTCACACGTTTGTTTACTTTTTTTTTAACGCACTCGGACTCACTCGCACTCGCAGCGATGCTCGCTCACTCGCACTCAAGGAGCAACTGGCTTTGCGTTCTCGCCAAGACGTTCTCAGTGTGCAAATATTTTTTGCACACTGTAAAACATCACACAGACAGCGCAGAGTGTGTCCCCTTAACTTAACACAGTGTGGTGAGTTTAACACGAACACACACAGATGAAGAGGGAGAGAGAGCGCGCTCTCGCTGTTGCTCTCTTTTCTTATTATTACACACACTTGTTGTTGGCCCCGTTTTATTTATTTATTTTTGTTAGCTGTTGTAGGGGACTTTTACTTTTTTTTCTTATCTGATTCTCGCTCTTTTCGCTGCTGCTGACGCTGCTCTGCTCCACGGCACGTGCGCTTCGCTCGAGTCTCAAACGCGTTCTGTTGGCAAACGTAGCCATTTTGTGTGCTCAGCCTGTGCTTGTCTATTCTATAGCAAGCTTTTGAGCGCTGCGCTGCCGCTGTTAACTAACATTTAGAGCGATTAAGCTCGCTAACCGTTATACGCCCCACAGCCTGACAACTAATTTGCATGTGGCCAAAGAAGAAGAGAGCAAGCACAAAGACAAAAGTAAACACAAAGCAAAACAAGAAGATCGCGTTGACATTATTTAGACACTAATTGCCACTGGCTGCGCCAATTGGCCGAAGCGTGTTGTTAGCTGTGATTTGTTTCGTTTTTTGCATCAAAACTCAATTAGATTGCTTGAAATGTTAAACGACGCTTGAATGCCCTTGGCTTGGCATGAATAAAACTTTAAGGTTCTTCAACACTACTGCTTTTACTTTTTAAAGCTTCTTGTGCTTAACATTATATTATGTTGCAAATTATTTTGTTCCTTGCCATCAGTTATTCTTTCGAAATACCTTCACTTAATGAATCTTATAACGTTTTTTTTCTGATTGAATAAAGCAAATAATGTTTTGCAACACTGCTACTCTAAGTATTTAGATTTTATTTCTGTAATATAACATTATAACATTTATAACACACATGTTGCGAATTCTTTTATGGCTTCTCGTCTGCTGTCCTTTCTTAGTGCCTTTCCCAACCGTACCTAATTATTTGTAATTTTTAGAGCATACAGAAGAATAATAGAATTTTTTAAATATGTTGTCAATATTTTTTTTATCGAATTTTCTTTCTGCCTCTGAGTGATTCTTCCATCAGCGATAAACTTTTGAAATGTGATAAGTTCAATGTTAAGATAGCACTGACCATATGAACATGCAGCGGGCAAAATAATAGAAGTGCACACATTAAAAAATAAATTAAAATTAAAAACTAAATACTTCAAATATAGTTGACAAATTATGTAAATTTTATGTGAACACTAGAATTTGCAATTATGAAGCAGTAGTACTATTATTTTGTCCAAGAGCGTATAGTGTTAGTGTTAGTTAACATAGCTGACATTCCTTAGAGTATTATGGCATTAAATACCGGCCCGATAAGTGAGAATGTAATTGGAAAAACCCGATCGAGTTATCAACGCTTTTGGTCAGTCCGACTGTTCTGCTGTTTGACTGTTGGTCTGGTTAGTCAATAAGTAGAACTTATGACTGCGATATGTCGAACTACTTGTATTTTACGTGCCCCAACCGCAGCAACCTTCGCGATGTTGCTTGTTTTTTTATTAGCGCCCAGGTGTAAAATCTGATAGCCAAGTGTCACGTTTCGCCACATATATATACATATATGTATTTATATATGTATAATATGTGTTTTTATATGTATTTCTGTGGCTCAAACAATTGCGACTAATGCAATAATTATTTATGCATGCCACTCCATAAAGAAACAGAACACAAAGAGCGGCCAGAACCACAAAACTAAAAAAAACTCAAACTTTGTTGGGCACTTGAAATGTTTTAAGCAGTTCTCGTTTTGAGTGCCTCTAATAAAAATGCCAAATATTTGTGTAAAACTCATAAATTGCTATACAAACACGAGAAAAAGAACAACAACACACACAAACACTCAGACACAACATGTAAATTGTGCCAATGATTTGCATTAAAATGGTTTAGGATTTCATGTACTTATCTGTTGGAAAATTCATTTCACATTAGAGCAATGTTTGTTGTTGTTCTTGTTGTTAATTCATAAATAACATGCGCAAAAATAATAAGAGTAGATGTGTTTTTTTTAGTTTTACAGACAGCAATACATTTCAATGAATGCCGCAAGCCAATTAAAATCCATTTAGGATGCGTTGAGTGATCCAGCGATAATTTAGTCGAATTGTGATCACATGAGAATTATCAAATTGTTAAAGATTAATAGATATAAATATAGACTCATATACAAACATATATAAAATGAAACTATATCCAGAATCTTGGTTTGAACTGATTTGATTTGCCATCACTTTCACTGCTTCTCTCAAGAGTTGCGCAACCCTTTGCAAATCCCATCAAAAATGTTGAATATCATTCATCATTTGCCTTAGGCTCGGCTCTTGTGAAAGCTCTATAATAATTGTGGGTTTCTTTGCTCGATTTGTTTACACATTCGGTGGCCGACTGTGATAATCAACTTAACTTGTAATCAATTCGAGGGAAGTTTGCAAAGATTATGGACAAAACTTAATCTAATTATTGAATCTGCAAACAAAAACATTTATAAGTGAGTAAATAAATATGTAGTGAATACTAATAATATAAATTTTATGGAATTTTTAATATATATAGGTCACTCAAACTATACAAGTAATGAACCCATATTTTTTAAATATTCTGGCCGAAATATATTTGTAATTAATTTATTTGTAATTTATAAAGTTTAAAAAACTCCCAAATATGCATACCACTTATTTATCCTACTTGTCAAGCACCCCTCGTTAAGCTCGTCGCTCGTTTGGGCGCTACGCAAAATAACAAAAAAGAACAAAAGCAATAAAATGGTATTTGGTTTGTGCTTGTGACGTCATTGCTGCAGCTGGATAAAAACAATTTTGCTAATTACGTAGGGCAATAAAAAATAATTTAGCATGTAAATGCAAAATAACAACAACAAAAACAATACTGAGCGCCACAATAAATACTTGCAAGCAATAATTGCCAAAGACAGCGGCTAAAGAGTAATTAATAAAAATCTCACACGCACCAAGCCAGTTGTATTTGGGGCAGGGGCGGGGAGTGTGAGTGTGGCCAAAACAAATATAATTTATACAATTAGAGCAATCACAGCAGTAAAAATTACAATAATAATACCAATCATCAAGAGAAACAATTCTTTCTTTCTTGTGTAGCTTTTTATTCCATTTATTTGCAAATTTATTAAAGGGACGCCTTAATATATTTTGTTAGCTTCGTATTTTGATTTTATGAAATTTTTGTACATTATGCAAACAATTGTTATTCAATTTATATTATTATTTATTTTTGTGTTTGTATTTATTGTGCAAATTAATTGAATTTACGCCAAAAAATGAGCGCTGGCGTCGCGTCTTAATTGAATTTTTTTTGTTGGCTTTAGCCGCTTTGTCAATTGAAGCCCAGTAAATTGCACTCAAATAACAGAGACGGAGAGTGAGAGAGAGGAAGAGAGAGAGAGAGTGAGAGAGAGAACACAGCATGTGATTTTCAGAGCATTTGATTGAGCATGACAAACGCGGCATGCAACAAATGTTCCCGCATCGAA